GTTACTACTAGTAAGGCACTTGTTCCTAGAAGCGATGCACTTGTTACCACTAGCGTTCTTGTTCCTAATAGAAAGTAAGTTTGTCAAGATGGGAATAAGTTGGGCACCTGATGGGTCGATTCTTAGAACATCACCACCTGGGACCTAGCCGCTAGCGTATCGAGAGCAGAAAACCCCTTCTCCCAAAAGATGCAGTTGAACCGATCAATTCAGCATGAACAATGCTACCTCTTCAAGGGACTCCTGCTTTAAATTGATTATCCTCGACACCTCCTGTCTGCTACGTGGATCACGCCTGCTTCGTGGAGCGTTGGCTGTGAATGTGCGCCTGCCGTCAAAGCGCGGTCGAGTGCGCGTTGGGCCTGGGAGCAGCACCATGTGGCCGGGCAGCCTGGAAGTGCAACAGAGAAGCAGGCGACAGGCAGCGAAGGTTCGTAAGGAAAATGCACTCCAGACACAGTCCGCTCAGTTGAGGAGACATCCAAACACGAAACTGAGTTTTGAGTGGGTACCAGTACCAGAATGACAAGCCACTTACAAAATCGTCTACAAGTCCGACACTGGTTTTGAACAGCCAAGGGAAAGGCGGTGTGTCGAATTGCTGACGAAATGCTGACTTTGAGCTGACTGCACCGTCTTCGATTTGATTGAGTCTAGACAATATGATTTGAGACCTGGCCGTATTCCACAACCGACCAGGTCGCAATTGCTGATGTGATCAGATCATGTGATTTGTCCTAGCTGTTTCAAGACACTCTTCATGACGCTGGGCATGGGTACTGCCATCCTGTATCCTAGGATATTGGATCTGTGAGCGGGCAAATGAAAAAACGAAGCGCACATGCAAGCGCCTCTTTCTTGAGCCAAACGTTGAACGACGCGGAATGTTCATCGCGTTTCGTCCTTTCGAAAACACGGGATGTCAAAAGGCATTTCTATGCCCGCACTCCCCCAATGATGGTTGACCATCATTCCTCAGGGCACTGTTCATGCCAACTTCTCAAAACTACCATCTGACTGGGAGTCTTCTTCCAGCTTCACAGCAGGTGTGGTGGGTCTTTGACCCACAGAAGTTGAAATTCCCATCCAGTCAGGCCAAGTGTCGGCTTCAGCAGGATGGAGTCCTTCGGTGCGAAGAGAATGCTCCCAAGCCTTCTCCACTTCATCCATGGGGGCCTCACCTCGAGCTCGATGTCCCTGAAGCTGCTCTGCATAGCCGGCGCTGGGGACACCATCGGAGGAGGCAGTGCCACAAGCAGTGATTGCAGATCCATCATAGGCCACTGTGGACCCCCTCACTGTCTTCTCTCCCACAGGCAGCTCCACACTCCTTCCCCGTTCCAAAGCACGGGACCGAGTTGACGATGTGTTCCCATAGCCCCGATCGGCCTGTGCAATGGTTCCCGGAGGAGGCTGCGGTCCTGGAGCCAATCCACAATTGGGATCAAGTTGAACCCCTTCCATAGCGCCCACGAAGCGGACATAGAAAAAAGCATACCCTATCCACTCATAGCCCTCAATGTCACAGTTCCTCGATGTGGTCCAATCGTCCGTCAGGACTTGCCTTCGCCAGGCTTCTCGAGTGGAGCCTCGATGAAATGCAACCGTCACTCTGGTAGGTGACATCCTCGAAATCTGAAAAGGGGTGCCACGGTGTAGTGGGTGGAATGATCTCACCCTGCTTTTCTTGAGAACACGGACCCACCATTCTCCAGCACCATCGCCTGATCCCAGGCATTCCCACCGGTCTGCTCCAGTAGGAGGCGTCGCGAACCTCCCGAGGACCCATGGCGTGTCTGTGCCCAATCCTCGGTGTGCAATTGGCGCCTTCATGGCGCAGAGCCGCGGAGCTTGGTTCCATGGCTTCAAGGTCGATCCATCGGCCGGGGTGCCAAGGTGGCAACGGTCGTCGGCTGTCGACCCCTACGTGGGCCGGGCTGGGTTCATCTTCCCTCAGCCATCTTGAATCTTTCTTGACCTTCTCAGTCCTACTTGGGGTGGGTTCATCTTCCCTCACCCATCTTGACAGTTTCTTGACATGGGATGCGTTAGACCTCTTGTTCGACTGGCCTGTCGCCGTCGTGAATGCATTCAAAGCTACGGTTGCAGCTGCTGCCAAACCCAGGAGCGAGGCCAACTTCACTGCTCCCCCCAAACCAGGCACAGCTGCCAGCAGGCCCAATGATGCCATCGCAGCGCAAGCTACCTTCTTGGCCCTCGACGTGCCCACCTCATTGGAGACAGATGTTTCAGCAGCACGAAGACCAACTGAACGACGGAAGGCGTCCCACGATAGAGACTGTGTGATGGACTTGGTCAAAAGATCGGCGCACAACTCCGTGCCAGGCACATGCTCCACACTCCAGAGGTGGTGCTTGAGGCGCTCACGAAGAACATGACTTCTCAGCCGAAGATGCCGGGTGCGCCACGGACCTGACGGTGCCTGAAGTAGCTGCAAGCCCGAGAGATTATCTCCTCTCAGGACGTACGAACCTTCACGGTCCAGGATGTTCTCCTGCAAGACGTTCGCAACTGCTCCAACGCTTTCCCCCAAGGTGAGGCCATCAATGTAGCCAAGCAACTCACTCTCTGTGGTGCTGAGGGTTGCAAATGCCTGAGCCTTTGACTCCCAAGCCACCAAGCACCCTCCCCACATAGCCATGATTCCCTGGTGACCCCTGCCACCAGTAGGAGCAAAAGATGAATCGGTCAACACTTCCAAACGGTTCAAATTGTGCACCCGTCCATACTGGTCACAGTAGTCCGGGCATGGACCATACTCCAGGGCGAAGTCCAGGGTTGATGCCACATAGCCCAACACATGATCAGCAAGGATCAACACCCCCTTACGACACGGCGAAGCTCAAGTCCGGCCTTGTCCTGGTAGAAAGCCATAACAGTTCTCCGATCACAGTTTGGCAGCGCTTCACATCCTCCGGGTTGATGGTTTCCTCCATGTCCAACTCAATCACCTTCAGAAGTGGAGAGCTCCTCAACGGGACATCCGAGTGGCGAGCGACTATCTCCCGAGCATAGTCAGGCTGGCCAATGAGCAAGCTGCTGCTGTCCCACTTCATCTCCACTCCACAAAATTTTCGCCATTCCGATTCCACCACCCAGGTAGGAGGAGCACACTTCCAGGTAGCTGCCAGCTTGGACAAAAACGCTTGTGCCACCGGTCGATCACCCATCACGATGAAATCATCCACATAGGATAAGGCGAATCCCACCGCCTTGCCCTCCTCCATGACATTCACATAGTCCGTCTCCTCACCATCAGCAGACATCAACCTCCAGACATTAGGCTCTGGTGTGGCATGAATCCAATAATGCCTGCCGCTCTCCCACCACCTCATTCCTCGGAGCACTTCGTCACGATAGGACTGCCAGTCAGCCGGAGAACTGTCCAAACCATAGACAGCAGCTTCCACGATCCACCGGGTGTCCTTGGAGAGGATTCCTGCTTCAGTCAGGATGGATGGGGGCTTGGTGACCATGAGACGTGAGGACTTTCTCGGTGCCAGGAGGAAAGCCGAGGACACGTCAGTGATGCCTATCGACCACTGCTCCTGAGCTGCCTTGCGGAGTGCACACCGCAATGAACTTCCATCAATGCCACTTGCATACAGCTCAAAGGATTTTCCAGGCTGCTTCACTCCACTATCGCCACCACCAGCATCATGACCACGGGGATGAGCCCGGAGGCGAGCTGATGTGTCTTCAACAAGGTTCCCACATAGAACTATGCGAGATCGTTTCTTTCCATCCGGTGCCTTCATTGTGGGAACCAATTTGGAGGGGACCACCAGCATCTCGTTGTAGCCCGGCTCCTCCTTAAGGTCTTGAACCTGGATATAGGGCGCACTGCCCTGGTGGTCTTCTCAAGAGAGTTCACCTCATACTCGAGCGACGGGATCCAGTCTTTCAGTTCTCGTCGAACTTGTGCGAGTGGGACAGTATACGTCTGAAGGACAGCATGCACCCCCAGACGATCATCCGACCCCTCCTTCTCCTCCAAGTGCTGTCCAGCGGTCATCGAAGCCAACTGGTGAGTCACAGCACAATCTCGAATCTCCGTGAGGTCCTCCTCCAAGGCCTGGACATTCTTTTCCAAGTAGTCCATCATAGCTCCTTCCAGTTGACCCTCCACATCGCCAACCGCCACCTCCTTCAACATGTCACACCAGAGCTGTTTCCAGCCCCAATGCTCTTCTTCCAACCTTTGAGTCCATGGTCCCATCCATATTGGTGGCTCACCAGGTTCATCCATTGGAGTCTCACAGAATCCACATTGTCGGGGGAGTTCAAGGCGTTTGAACGACGGCTGCGCCATTTGCAGTCCACACTCCTTGCAAACCAATGCCTTTCCTCCACCATTGACCTTCACATGTGCCCCTGGTGGCATAGAAAGCTGCAAAGACTCCCCCCAGTCCGACCTTGATGTAGGACTGGCTCTCCAGCTGAGTTGCACCGGACGGTGCATAGTCCAGGATCATCAGAGAGCCGCGGTGGGGGAAGTTGAGGAAGCATCGGTTCCAATGGCTGCTTACCCACCACTCGTTTC